ACCAAAATCCCACATTATACAAGATGGGAAGAAAATAAATGCGGAAGCGATATAAGAAAAGAACACACGGATTTTATAGTGGTTCGGTCAAACCTTGACCTACATCCACTCCTTGGAGGCACCCTGCCAAGTATTACACTAAAATCGTAGACTCTCCTTTAGCCCCACAGCTAGGTGGAGAAGCCCTTGCAAAATCACTTCACCTTCCCGGTGCGGCGGAGTCGCCAGTTTCTTTGACACAAAGAGATCTTCTTCTTGATGAACTTACTCGAGACAAGCCTTGATCCGATGGTACTAAGGTGCGAGTTCGCCGGAGCAACCGTGTGGAATCCCTCCACACTCCCTTGAGTTCCCCCCCCCTCACAGGATCTTCTCCCTCTCAACTCACCTTTCTCTCTCCCTTTCAAGCTCTCTCTTCGAGTTTCTCCCACAAGAACGAAGCTACAATGGCTGCCAAAGACACTTATAAAAGTTGTCATGCCATAGATTAAATAGACGCTGGACGATTTGACCATGTAATTGCTTTCCTTAAATTCCAAAGAAATTTTAGAAAAATTGACCTGGATCGTCCTGGACGATATTTTATAGTCCTGGACGATCCTCTGGACGATGTCCAAAAATAGGTTATTTCTAAAATATATAGGCGGCAGATCTTACTGAATTGAGCCTATCGTCCTGGCCGTACAAAATCGTCCAGGACGATGTGTTTTGCGATAATGACGGTGCTTTTAATGAGGATGCCCTAATTAGGGTTTCTACTTTGTCAGATCGTCAGGACGATATAAAATCATCTCCGGAGATGTTACCAAAAATAAAAATCTTTTAGGGCACAACAAAAATCTTCCAAGTTACAAACCATTAGATGCACACCAAATCCAACAGACTCAGAAAGGAAAGGATTACAAACTGACACAGACCTCGTCTACCCAATCATGAGCTGGTTCCAAATTGCAGTCTGATTGTGTGGACCTGAAACGTTAGCACATAAAGCATTCGTAGAGAAATAAGAAATGTTTGTTATCATCAAATCATAAACCATAAATCCGCAATAATCTCCCCCTTTTTGATGATGGCAAACAATTCAATTGAAATATTCAAAAAATAAATATCTCTCTAATCTCCTCCGCTTCTAGAATAACCCTTTTAAAAAATAGGGGAGATAAAAATATTTTTGTTGTTTTAAATTTTTTTGAAAAAGAAAAAAAATGATACAAATTCAACATTACGTCCCCCTTTGCATTATCAAAAAGAGAAGAGGCACAAAAAATAAAACAAACAAAAGATAAAAATGTTCCCTGATCTCTGAAAAAGTAATTTTCTTAAAATGAGAAAGTTACCTCTTTGAGCATCTTTTGATTTTAATACATTGGCGTGATTTTTTTTTTAAATTTAGCGTCATTGCGCATCTTTTGTTGGTGGCATATTGGCCACTTTTTTTAATTATTTTTAAAAAATATGCTTTCTTTCTTATATTTTTAAAAACTAAAGTAAACCCGAATTATTGACAACAACGAACAATTGATTAAAAAATTTTATTGGTGGATCATACAATCTTGCAAAAGAATTCCTAGCTGATAGAAAAAAGTAGGGAGATAAAAAAATTAGTTTCAAAATTCAATTTAAAATATGATGAAGATTTTGAATCAAAAGTAAAATAACCTCTTTAATAAGAGAGAAAGAGAAACAAATCATGAGTTCCCTTCTCTAACGTTTTTGAGAAGTCAACACAACTTATCAAAGATTTCAATAAAAAATAGGAAGTAAAATTTTTCATTTTTAGAAAAGTGAATGTGTGTGTTGATCAGAGAAAAACTTTCACGAAAACAAAAATTTCAAAGAATAAATAAAATAAAAACACAAATAAAATATAAAAAAATATAAAACAAAAATACAACACAAAACACGAAAGAGCTTTTAACCATTATCTCTCTCCAGGTCCGATGCTTCAAAAATAAGATCTGCCGTGAGATTTTTTTGGCCTTTCATTTTTCCCAATTTAAATTTTGCTTCGCCATGCCTTTTCTTTCGTAGGAAGAATTCTTAAATTAGGGCACTGATTTTTTCATATGTCCAGGCTTTCCTGCATCGAAAGCAAATAACGTCAGAAGAAATATGGACATCTTTACCACTTTTACCTTTTTTCCACTTTTTCTTATGCTTTGGTGAGCTTTGTGATTTTGCTTGACAAGTCATTGCATTCGTCACCAACTAAGCAATCTATTTTACGTATATTCAGTTTTTAGAGACAATCGTTTCACACTGCATCCAAATGTCTTTGACCAAATCTTGCTCGTAGGAAATGAGTGAGTCAATCAAATATATCAATAGAATAATCATTAAATATTTTGATTCACAAATAGCAAAACTTTGACATCAAATTTTTAAGTAAACAACGAAGAATTTTGTTAACTTTTTCAAAATTTGAAATGTTTAATTCCTAAAGCATGCAATGATGTCACAATTTGAATAAACCTAGTATACATGTCTAAGATGTCTTCATAAGATTTCATGAAAATAGTTCAAGAATCATGCATTAACATATTCAACTTGGATTGCTGATTTCACTAGTGCCTTCGTAATGGTGTGTAGTTTATCCCAAATTTTCTTACCAGTAGAGCACGTGGATCTACATAAAATCTTCAGAATTTAATGCACAGAAAAAGCAATTTAAGATTTTGCATTCAATTGAGCATCATCGTTCTTCTCTAATCCATTGACTAAAAGTAATGTCAGTTTTTAATTCCATTAACAATACGTGACGGTGATGAATAACCAGTTAAATCATTATGCCCACATACGAAAATCTATAGATTGCAAGAAAGTAGACATGCGAGTTTTCCAAAAATCAAATGACATATTTTCAAATAAAGGAGGTCTGGTGATTAAATAACCTTCGCAACATTAGATTAGCCTGGATCAAAAAATTCAAAAGCTTTTAAAAACTTTATTTTATGAATTCTGCTCTGATACCACTTTAAAGTCTGATTAGTGATGTTAAGCCTATAAAAACTGGCCCAAGCTAACAAGAGAGAGGTGAATTAGAAAACTTTAAAACCCAAGATAAACTCCAACAAAATCACACAAATAAAGTGCGGAAGAAAAATAAATGCGGAAGCGATAATAAGAAAAGAACACACCGGATTTATTAGTGTTTGGTCACAACACTTGACCTACATCCACTCCTTGGAGGCACCCTCCAAGATTGCACTAAAATCGTGATCTCCCTTTAGCCCCACAACTAGGTGGAGAAGCTTTTGGTTGGAGTTTTATCTTGGGTTTTAAAGTTTTACAATTCATCTCTCTCATGGTTAGCTTGGGCCAGTTCTATAGGGCTTAACATCCCTAACGAACTTTCAAGAGGAGGAGGAGTCAGCTTCATTAGCATCTTGAAGAACACTAAATTTGTTAGAGGAAGTAATCCTTAAAACTTTTTGCCCATTAGTACGAAACGTAGAGGCAGAAGAAGAAGAATTCATGGAAGTAGGTGAATTTAGATTAGGGATATTAGTGTTAGCCCCTGTCAAAGGAAGAGTTGGTTCCTTTATCCCCAACAAAGAACAAGGCTCATTGTTCGGGGATGTCTCATTAGTCTCAGTATTAGGTTGAGTATCATCACCAGCCTCAGAAATAAGACCCATAGATTTAACATGCTCAACATGACTAGTAAAAAGAATGTTGTGATTATTATTATCAGCACATTATTGTCCGTTTTGGGGACTGAGGTTTCATCTTTATTCAAAGAGGTTCCACCATTTTTCTCCGCTGGATCAATAGCATGATCAGGAATCTTGGGAGTAGAATTAGGTAGAGGAAGAAGTCCTTTGGGATTTTGAGAATGCGGTCTTGGTCTACGACTCGTGCTTCATCCCCTGGGAGGGTTAGAGTTATGATTTATATCAGAGTTAGGGTTGGCAGAATAATTTGAAGATAAATGATTCAGCGATCTACAATAGACACAGAGGGTAGGATGCCATTCATATTGGATCTTTAGGTTGAAAAGCTTGCCATCCACATAGATCGAAATATTTTCATGAAAAGTCACCATAGCATCGACTTTGACACAAACTCTAGTGTATGTGAGTCTAGATTTGGAAGCAGTGAAAGCATCAACAGCTAAAGGATGACCAACTTTAGTAGCTATTTTAGAAATTCCAACAGGGGTCCAGCAACATAAAGGAAGGTCGTGAATCTTGAACCAGATTGGAACAGAGGTGAGTTCTTCATGAATAGGGGAAAAATGCGGATTCCATTTTTAAAAAACAAAAGGTTTACCAAGGATAAACCAGGCACCACTAGACCAAATAAGGTCATAGTCTTCAGCACTAGAGAACTTGAACAGAAAAAAACCATCACTAAGAGATATAAGTTTCATACTACCTTTGAGATTCCAGAGCTTCTTAACAGCATTATGAAGCACCTCATAGTAAGGTCTCTTACCGAGAGAATACCCGACAAGTGCCAGATCCCATTAATCCATAACGTCTACAATATCTTCCGAGGGGTAGTTGATGATTTCTTCTTCAGTCGGCAAGGGAGATATCAGAAACTCACATGCATTAGAAGGGGAGCAAAAAGGATGTGATCCCAAGAATGAGGGATTTTGTTACCAGCAGCAGATGAAGAGTTGAGAGGGTTAGAGAGAGGAGGGAAAGCATCATCAAAGACGGAGGGATCCACTCCAGGTGCCTTACAGGAGAAGCACAAAACGAATCGCCAAAAAACCCTAACCCTAACAGAGCTCTCTTGCTTCTCTCGCTTCTTCAATGTGGAATCAACTTGTATGAAATTGGAATTTAGTTATCTGATTTCAATAATAAAAACTGGTACATTATTATTCGGTTTCTATTAAAACTATAATTTAAGTATTCCGTTTTAATAGAAACTAATACTCTAATCTCTGATTTCAGTAAAAACCACATTTTAATTATCTGATTTGTATTATGAATTTTTTAAATCGATGTTTAATGGTATTTACATTTGATTTAAAATATCATCCCAATAATTTAATGTTATTTTATGTAATATATATAAATTAAATTATTCTTATATTTTAAAAAAATTAATTAATTATTATAAAATTTTTTATTTACCGCTTCATTATTAATAAGAATATTTTAAGTGAATTACTTGTTAATAAATTTGTGAATTAAGATTGAAATTAATAATTATTATTTTTAATTTACTATATAAGTAATAATTTATTTTAACCAAATTTAAATAGTATATTATTTGTAAAATTAGTTTTATTTTTTAATTTAGTTAAAATAAAACAATTGTAATTTCATTTATGAATAATTTGTACTAAGTATGCATATAATTTGCTATATATTTAAATAAATTATTACAATATAATTTTAATTATGCATTATGGTCATTATGGTCATTATAGTGTATTACATTGGTATCAAAATAATATATTCACTGAACAGTAATGAATATATTATGATAGTAAATATATATGTATTTAATTTTTAAAAGTAGTAGTCATATAATTATGAATCAATGTATAAATAGTAAAACATCCATGTAATAGCAATAAGTATGTATAATGAAATAGTATAATATGAAAGCTAGTAAAATAGTATAATAAGGAAAACCGTAAATCAGTATGGGTGTCAAATCAATACATCAATTATCGCATTAATACCATCAATCAGACGAGAAATCATACAAAGCGGTAAAATTAAAGTATTGATGAAGACTATAAAAATTATATCAATCTAGTTAATCACTTAGGAGTGTACTCATACTATCCATGCACTCTATATCAATATCAAATCAATATATTATTTGCTCAATATATCATATGCTTAATATCAGTATAGTGAATCAGAAGTATCGAACATCATCAGTATCTATATCGATAACTGTAACAGTCTAGTGGCAAAGAGTATTAAAATAATATTGTAACTGTAAATCCATGCAATGATAATAAATCAATACAGTTATTGAAACAATCCCTCAATAACATGCATTTTAATAGTCATTATAAATAAATAAGAAGTTTTGGCTATCGCGATATTTTCAGCAATTAGTAATCGGTAGTTGGTAACCGTTCACTCAATAAATAAAGTCGACACTCTTTACCCATCAATACAGTAATAACTCTTTATAACCCTCAATTATTGTATCAGTATAGGATAACACCCAATCATGATATTTAAAAAAAGCTCGTCGGCCCACCATCATATATAGGTCATTTAATCTCCAACCAACAGGTTAACCAATCTGTTCTTATCTTTTATACATACATTATTATCACAATACTATAATAGAAATAGTGACCAACTATTATTCAATCATATATCTATATGCATTTTTAATGCATTATAGTAAATAAAGCATAATTGAGCTTAATTTAAAAAGTGTTAAAATGTTCTAATGGTAGGCAACAGAACTAAGCTTAAATTCACATTTTTAAAAATTAATCAAATTACTAGAGATCATATATAACAATATGCTGAAGCATTAATTGAACTAAAGTACTATTTTTAGATATTAAAATAAAATTTTAAATTAGTAAAAAATTACTTTTTTCTTAAATCATCCAACAAAAAATCTTAAATAAATACTCAAATCATCAATACTCTTAATATTTATAATATATAAAAAGTTATGCAATGAAAGTTTTACCAATACAAAATTACCATCATTTTTGGACAAAAATATAAATTTGATCAGAAAAATTTAAAAAATATCAAATTATTGAAATAAGAAATATGATAATAGTTCCTTATAAAAATACGCAAATCTCCCAACATGACTACCTGACAAAAATCACTCTACAACCTCTAAATTCTATGTTTTTCTCTATCTTTTTTTTCTCTCTCTAATTTCCTTTTATAGCCCTCGATTAAGCTGAGTTGAGTTAGGTAGAGAAAGGAATTAATGGGTTGTGTTAGTACTTTTTTATATCTATATTAAAATAATAAGATAATATTATATAATTATATAAATTATTATTTTTAATATAAAAATGATATAAATCATTGTATATCTTTAAATCCAAAACTCTAAAAATTATAGAAAAATATTTATAAAATAATACATGATTTTAAAAGCATACAAGTAAAATAAATAATAAAATAACGCAAGTTCAAATAAAAATAAAAAATATGCACAATAGTTTTATATGGTTCAACCTATACACTCATTAGACCTTCGTATGTGCTAAACAACTCTTCAACTAGAAATCCATTAAATCTATGATTTGCATTGCAAACCACACTTCCTTAAATTAAAAATGTTGCCGAAAATCTAAGTACTCTCCTATAAAGATGAGTGGAGCCTAATCTAAGTATAATATGAACTTTAGATAACAAAAAAATTTTGCTATAGAATGACTCAAATATTTTAGGTGATTTTGTAAAATATTGATTGTCACCTTACTTGTTATAAATGAAGAATAAAATTTTCTTATTATTATTTTTATTTGTAATATATTGTATACTATAGATTGTGAAAGATATATGTATAAGTTATTCAAACAAAGAGATAAGAATTATGAGGATTTAGTTCAAGTCAAGTGCATTAATAATGAAGATATAAAATTATTTTAAGAGGATATTCAATAAAGATGGATGATATGTTTTATTATGATTTTCAATGAGGATTGTAATTATATGATTGATTTTAGTGACCTTAGCAGCCTAAATAAAATTAGAGATATTTTTATATGCATTTTAATAAAACCAAAGTTACAAGTCCTTAATGAAAATGAAGTGTGGAAATGTTGAAGATATGAAGGAATTTACTTAGCTTACTAAACTTTTAAATATTATTTTAAAGAATAGAAAGATGTCAGATGAGTGAAGAATGAGTGTGTTGATTCTTATATAATTTTAAGAATAAAGGGGATGCACAAGTTGGTGTGAATTATAGAGGAATTAAGTTAATGTGACATTATTTAAAACTATGGGAGATATTTATGAAGCATAGATTATGACATGTTATTAATGTTTCTCAAAATAAATTTGGATTCATGTCGGGTAGGTCTACTATGGAAGCTATACATTTATTAAAAGATTTGATGGAAAAGTATAGAGAGAATAAGGAGGAGCTACAAATGATATTTATTAATTTAGAAAATGTTGTGAATCTGGATCCAAATACCTTAATTTTGATGATAATAAATATTATTATTTCTTTACCACTACTATTATTAAATATCTATTTTGTTTGCCCTACGTACTAACTTTTTAGGTCCACAAAGATCACTTGCAATGCAAATCATCTCAATATCAGATAGATTAAGGTTGAGTCTGCTTGTGCTTGTAATATTATATCAATGTATTGTTTACCTTTCTTGAGTCAAATCTTGAATATGGTGGATCCCAAGCTAAGTAACATTGCATGTACACACTCAGGGGGAGAGATTTGGCGAGTTAGAGATTATTTTCTATTTTTTGACCAAATCGTACATGATGATTTGAGATTGTATTGGACGATCAAGGCTAACCCCACGTAGGAAAGGATTCATGTAGCTAACTGTACCCCACATAGTGGGTAAAGGCTTTATGTTGTTGTTGTATTAATTTTATTTATAAGAAGAAATTTCATTAAAAAAATATTTTTCCTATTGATTTAAAATAATACTATTTAAATCATGCAATAAAAATATATTAAACTAAACATGTACGTATAATACTCTCAAAATTATATTAGGTTTAAAAAATAAATTTATGTTAAAAAAAAAAAGACTTGTTAATTTGATGGAGAAAGAATTTTAAATCTAGAAAGCTCAATCAAAGAAGCTTAACGAGTATTTCACCCAAAAGTAAAATTTTCTAGAAAAATAAAAGAAAAGCAAAGAAAAGCTTATAGAAAGAAAACATACTAAAAAATTTTAGGAGTTGCTCGGTCAAGTGCTTTGAAGCTTTTGAACCAATGAGTTGATCTTGCAAAGATGTAAAGCGCTTGAAATTGAAATCTAAATTTCTATTCTAAAACTTTAGCTTGAAAATAATAAAGAAAAGAAAAAAGTGTGCTAAAATTTCTTAAGTTAAGATAAGTGTTTACATAAATAGAATGAGGGCTATTTTTAAGAAAAATATAGATTATGCTAAATGTAAAGAAAAGTAAAAAAATATAATATTATTTTATCTAATATTAAT